TGGGTGCAATGGCTGTTATTTCTCTTTGTAAGTCCATCAAGAACGCAAGTAAAACCCATGTCACATTTGACAACTTTTATACAGGTATACCACTTATTACATATCTAAAAGACTATATGCACCTTCATTCTGTTGGCACCATAAAAAGAAACCGCACAATGCACTGTCCTTTGACTGATGGAAAAGAATTTCTGAAGAAGGAAAGAGGATCATATGAGAGCAGGGTCAGCAAAAATGCTGTTGTAGTGGTGCAATGGGCAGACAAACCAGTCTGCCTTGCCAGTAGCTTTGTTGGCGTTGAACCAGTTGGCACCATAAAGCGCTACTCAAAAGATGCTCATGGTAAAATTGATGTGCCCTGTCCAAGAGCCGTATCGGTGTACAACGAAACTATGGGTGGTGTAGACTTGGCAGACATGTACATGGCATTGTACAAAATACCTACCAGAGCCAAGAGGTACTACTTTCCATTTATTGGCTATAGTTTGGAAGTAGCACTTACCAACAGTTGGTTGCAGTATAAGAGGGACTGCAATCTGCTCCAAGTTCCCAAAAAAGAGGTGATTCCAAATTCAAAGAAGTTCCGCCTTGAAGTTAGTGAGGGCTTGCGAGTCCTCCTCCTAAAGAAAAGAGGCCAGCCATCGTTAGACAGCAGCCTTTCAAAGAAAATGATAAAACGGTGTGCCACGACCAAGCAGTGCTATTAGAACAGATGGATATGGACACTTACCTGAATACTGCTCCAAAGGAAGGTGCCGATACTGCCAGAAAGGTACATCAAGAATAAAGTGTGTGAAATGTAAAGCTAGGCTCTGCCTAAATTTGGATAGAAATTGTTTTGTACAATTTCATATCACTCAAAAGGGACGTTTAGTACCAGACAATAGAGAGGAGAGTGACTCCGATGAAGATGATGAAGAAGATGAAGACGATGAAGAGTTCGAGTGATTTTAATTTCTTGGCTAGTCAAGTAATCTGTAATTGATCTAAGCGATCTAGTCAAAAAATGTGTGCTTTCTAGACACACATAGTTGTTCAGTTTATTCATATATCTTTACTAGACAAAAGTATTATTGTTTTTTAAAGTTTTCCGTGCAAATTGCTTTTTAACTTGATGAAGTATTAGATTACTATTATATAAATATATACATTACATTGTTTCTATTAACATTATTATTCGTGATAGTTGTGTTTGTAGACCAAAGATTTGACGAGTTGAACTAAAGAGTTGAAATATAAAGTCCAAGTTTCGGTGCATTTTATAAATGGTCCAGTCTATATAATATATGAATAAAGAAGCTGTGTTAATTTATATTTTAAATTGAGTT